AAACATGCTTTGCGGGCTTTACGGCATAACCAGGTTTCATTCGCCCGGGCCCCTGGGCAGTTGCCCCTTTTCCCCTCCCTGTCGGCGAGCCTGGGCGTAGCATATCAAAGTGCAAAGATCTCTAAGACTTTTTGACCAATAATATAGGCCTAATGGAGTAAGATTTAATCATATAGGCTTATTCGATGACGAGAAACCCACTTTGAGACTAATAATGCTTAATTGGGTAAGATTGGATAATGTAGGCCTAATGAACTAAGATTTAATAATGTAGACATAATTGGGTAGGATTTAATAATGTAGGCCTAATGGGGTAGGATTTGATTTATAATACACTAAGGAGTGGAACACATGTTTTTATCATTAAAATTAACATAAACAGATTATTTGCCATTTGTGGCATTGCCAGCACAATTTAGTGTTTTATAACTCATGCAAAACTTTTTGTAAAATTATGTTATACGTTCTGTGAGTAAGTTGTCTAGCACAAAATTACAAGTTTCTTCTTTTACGACAAATTATAACGACAGTGTCACAAAGTATGGATGAATAAATCATACAAGGCCAAAAATAGGTTTAAAGTAGTTTAATACAGTGAAAAAAAAGTGAATATAGTACAGCAAAATAATATTTAGATTCACTATTACGGAACAACAACAAACTTATATAGATACAAGTTTCGATATTTTAACGTACCCTCTTCAGTCACCATTTTACACCGTATTGTATATTTACCTTCTATTACGATACTATGGTAATTTTTGCTGGAAAGTATTAAAACGTTAAGATTTACTTGTTTTGTTCTGTTTAGTGCAAAGCTGAATAATGCAGTAATCAAATCAGTGACGTAACTAGTCCTCACTGGGCGCGTGGAGCAAAATTGCATGGGGCCCTTAATTAATAGCTGTTATTAACGAGTTTGCCCTCATCAAGGGTCTGGGTGGGGTCTCGGGGGCGTATGGATTTAATCCAACCAATAAGATAGGTACTTGCACTCCTGAATTGAGCCCCCCCCCCCCATTACAATGTTATAAGCCATAAAACTTATCGCTGAGCCACTTAGGGACGAACGAGGGAGGATCACTTTTAACTCGATCTCTAAATGATGGTCGAAGAGCGACAAGTTGAAATATCCGGAGATGAGGTAATAAGAATTTCAGTATAGCCTTTTCAGTACACCAAATATCGGTATGAATCATTTATTTTGAACAACTTATGCTTTGACCTGAAAATTATATAGCCTACCACTAAGAAGAACCAGAATATTCAGGACTGTGTGGTCTTCAAAATATTCTAAGCGCGAATAAATGAATTCAAATTCCCCAATTTTTATATTGTATTTTGTTTCATTTGTCATTGTCGAAGCAACAAAGAGTTCCTTTACTACACTTTTAAAAAGTTCAACAAGCGTATCTCGTTAATGGCTGTCTGTTACTTCAGGTTTTAGGTTTTTTAGAATTTCGCGCAAAGATACACGAGGGCTATCTGCGTCCCTAATTTAACATTGTAAGATTAGAGGGAAGGCAACTAGTCATACCCACCCACCGCCAACTCTTGGGCTATTCTATTACCAACGAACAATAGAATTGACCGTCACATTATAACTCTCCCACGGCTGAAAGGACGAGCATGTTTGGTGGGATGGGGATTCGAACCCGCGACCCTCACATTGCGAGTCGAGCGCCCTAACCACTTGGCCATGCCGGGCCTATTACTTCAGTTTTCTACTAGTTCGCTAAATCAGCACTGTTGTTTAATTCATCATTCTTGTTCTAGTTGTTTTAAAACTAAACAGTGTTTCACGCAGAGAAATTGTCTAGAAATTTGTACTGACACTCCATTAATCACACTACCTTCGTTCTACTACTAAGAAGAAATGTTCGTTTTAAGCGCATCGTGAATTATAGTTTACACATATTTATCTTCTAAAGAATATCAGAAAAGGGATGTTTAGCAGCATTCTATCGAACCTATAATAAGAAGTCCATAGAATATAAATCAACACTTCTAATGTATACCTCTAAAACACTCAAAACAAAGAGAGTCAAGGCAATATCTTGGAAAAACACTCACTTCGATTAAGAAAAAAAAAAAGAGAAAAAATTATTAAATTTTGAGGCAAAATAAATGTTATCGTGTCTCAAGTACTCTAGCACTATATTTATGAGTGAGTTGTCTGTCAAAAAGTTGTAAGTTTCTTCATTCATGGCAAAGCATAACGAACCGTAATGCGTTTAGGCATCCTTTACTTAAGACTTAACAAGTTAAAACCCTTTTCGATGTTGAGGTACTTTTAGTTGTTTTTTTTTTATTTCGCGCAAAGCTACACTAGGGCTAACTGCGCTAGCCGTC